GGAGGGGAAAGATTGGGTACAAACCTAACTTTTGCTATAGTGCACAAAGTGGTTGCCCATGACTTGAACCCATAAACTCAAGATTATTAGGCCAAGGTTTTACCATTGAACCAATGGTCACCCCTCCCAAACACATTAATGTGTACTTATTGGGCGTTGTTTTTTATTGACCAGTGGTGCTATATGCACCAATTAATGTATTAACTAGTGTACCAACACTAGTTATGACATTATTATTGATCCCACTCATTATACAAATTACAAATACCAAAAACATCTTAAATTATGTCACATCATCAATTGGTACATTAATTAGTACACTAATTGGTGCATATAACATTATTCTTTATTGACTCTAGTCTACAGTTGTTAAAATCCACCCACTACACCACTACCACCTCACCTACTCCACTAAACCTAACCCACTACACCACTACCACCTCACCTACTCCACTAAACCCACTACACCACTACCACCTCCACTTCACCTACTCCACCTACCACCTACTACCACCTACTCTTCTATATATAGGAATCATTGTAACATTCAATATATCAATTAATAATACAATCATTTCTCTTTATACATTAAATTTCTACATGGTATCAGAGCAAGGTTAAGCTCTTGGTGCTCTTTGCCTTCTGGCGGGCGGCAACTTTGCCTTAACCGCCCGCCAGACCTCAACCAATTAAAACCTACCAAAACCTCCAACCACTGCAGCAACTCCTAAACCTAACCCACTACCACCTCACCTACTCCACTAAACCTAACCCACTACCACCTCACCTACTCCACTAAACCTAACCCACTACCACCTCACCTACTCCACTAAACCTAACCCACTACCACCTCACCTACTCCACTAAACCTAACCCACTACCACCTCACCTACTCCACTAAACCTAACCCACTACCACCTCACCTACTCCACTAAACCTAACCCACTACCACCTCACCTACTCCACTAAACCTAACCCACTACCACCTCACCTACTCCACTAAACCTAACCCACTACCACCTCACCTACTCCACTAAACCTAACCCACTACCACCTCACCTACTCCACTAAACCTAACCCACTACCACCTCACCTACTCCACTAAACCTAACCCACTACCACCTCACCTACTCCACTAAACCTAACCCACTACCACCTCACCTACTCCACTAAACCTAACCCACTACCACCTCACCTACTCCACTAAACCTAACCCACTACCACCTCACCTACTCCACTAAACCTAACCCACTACCACCTCACCTACTCCACTAAACCTAACCCACTACCACCTCACCTACTCCACTAAACCTAACCCACTACCACCTCACCTACTCCACTAAACCTAACCCACTACCACCTCACCTACTCCACTAAACCTAACCCACTACCACCTCACCTACTCCACTAAACCTAACCCACTACCACCTCACCTACTCCACTAAACCTAACCCACTACCACCTCACCTACTCCACTAAACCTAACCCACTACCACCTCACCTACTCCACTAAACCTAACCCACTACCACCTCACCTACTCCACTAAACCTAACCCACTACCACCTCACCTACTCCACTAAACCTAACCCACTACCACCTCACCTACTCCACTAAACCTAACCCACTACCACCTCACCTACTCCACTAAACCTAACCCACTACCACCTCACCTACTCCACTAAACCTAACCCACTACCACCTCACCTACTCCACTAAACCTAACCCACTACCACCTCACCTACTCCACTAAACCTAACCCACTACCACCTCACCTACTCCACTAAACCTAACCCACTACCACCTCACCTACTCCACTAAACCTAACCCACTACCACCTCACCTACTCCACTAAACCTAACCCACTACCACCTCACCTACTCCACTAAACCTAACCCACTACCACCTCACCTACTCCACTAAACCTAACCCACTACCACCTCACCTACTCCACTAAACCTAACCCACTACCACCTCACCTACTCCACTAAACCTAACCCACTACCACCTCACCTACTCCACTAAACCTAACCCACTACCACCTCACCTACTCCACTAAACCTAACCCACTACCACCTCACCTACTCCACTAAACCTAACCCACTACCACCTCACCTACTCCACTAAACCTAACCCACTACCACCTCACCTACTCCACTAAACCTAACCCACTACCACCTCACCTACTCCACTAAACCTAACCCACTACCACCTCACCTACTCCACTAAACCTAACCCACTACCACCTCACCTACTCCACTAAACCTAACCCACTACCACCTCACCTACTCCACTAAACCTAACCCACTACCACCTCACCTACTCCACTAAACCTAACCCACTACCACCTCACCTACTCCACTAAACCTAACCCACTACCACCTCACCTACTCCACTAAACCTAACCCACTACCACCTCACCTACTCCACTAAACCTAACCCACTACCACCTCACCTACTCCACTAAACCTAACCCACTACCACCTCACCTACTCCACTAAACCTAACCCACTACCACCTCACCTACTCCACTAAACCTAACCCACTACCACCTCACCTACTCCACTAAACCTAACCCACTACCACCTCACCTACTCCACTAAACCTAACCCACTACCACCTCACCTACTCCACTAAACCTAACCCACTACCACCTCACCTACTCCACTAAACCTAACCCACTACCACCTCACCTACTCCACTAAACCTAACCCACTACCACCTCACCTACTCCACTAAACCTAACCCACTACCACCTCACCTACTCCACTAAACCTAACCCACTACCACCTCACCTACTCCACTAAACCTAACCCACTACCACCTCACCTACTCCACTAAACCTAACCCACTACCACCTCACCTACTCCACTAAACCTAACCCACTACCACCTCACCTACTCCACTAAACCTAACCCACTACCACCTCACCTACTCCACTAAACCTAACCCACTACCACCTCACCTACTCCACTAAACCTAACCCACTACCACCTCACCTACTCCACTAAACCTAACCCACTACCACCTCACCTACTCCACTAAACCTAACCCACTACCACCTCACCTACTCCACTAAACCTAACCCACTACCACCTCACCTACTCCACTAAACCTAACCCACTACCACCTCACCTACTCCACTAAACCTAACCCACTACCACCTCACCTACTCCACTAAACCTAACCCACTACCACCTCACCTACTCCACTAAACCTAACCCACTACCACCTCACCTACTCCACTAAACCTAACCCACTACCACCTCACCTACTCCACTAAACCTAACCCACTACCACCTCACCTACTCCACTAAACCTAACCCACTACCACCTCACCTACTCCACTAAACCTAACCCACTACCACCTCACCTACTCCACTAAACCTAACCCACTACCACCTCACCTACTCCACTAAACCTAACCCACTACCACCTCACCTACTCCACTAAACCTAACCCACTACCACCTCACCTACTCCACTAAACCTAACCCACTACCACCTCACCTACTCCACTAAACCTAACCCACTACCACCTCACCTACTCCACTAAACCTAACCCACTACCACCTCACCTACTCCACTAAACCTTCCCCCACTTAAACCTACTCCACTAAACCTAACCCACTACACCACTACCACCTCCACTTCACCTACTCCACCTACCACCTACTACCACCTACTCTTCTATATATAGGAATCATTGTAACATTCAATATATCAATTAATAATACAATCATTTCTCTTTATACATTAAATTTCTACAACAGTCTATGCCATTCAACAGAGTTTCTTTCAAAAAATTCTGTACTTCCATTGAAATTCTAAGAAAACTGAAATCAATATTGATGTTCATTAGTATTCCCATGCTTTGGGATATTTGATCTCTCTTTTAGTATCATGGTTTGAGAACTTGGTTTCTGGTGCCACTTATAATACCTCAATACCATGAAAGCATGAGTTGCTTTAAAAAAAAAAATACCATGAAAGCATGAGTCTGACTGGTAATTTGATTTAAGACCATGATCTTAAAGGCGCTGAGTCAATTGTTCATTAGGTTTTAGGATCAGGACTCAAAGACATTAGCTGCAGTGACTATTGTTTGATTAAATAAATTAGGTTATTAATAAATTTATTAGTGCTTAGAAGATAGAAACAAGGAAAAAGTCTATATTGAAAGAGATTCATACTCGGGGAAAACAGAAAGAACAAAATTTGTTGATTAAGATTCTGACCCAATTAGGGAACCTGAAGTCATCATTTGATGTTGGAAGGAATTTTATCTGAAGTCATCATTTGATTGCATTGCTAATGTCATTTTTTTACATGAATTGGTTATAGTTGAGACTGTTTGTGCTAGTGAATGCATGGTTTATCATTGCAAGCTTGCAGCGTGTTGGCTAGATAATCATTCCTAGCTTGATTTTCATAGATAAGAATCTATGGTCTCTTTATTTTTTAATGTTGTCTATAATTGTTTCCAGACATTTTCATCCCTAGTAGTTGCTGTAAAAGTATTTTCTGAAATGTGTATAATTACAATTGACCAACTTTCCTTAGTGTCATTTCACTGGGTTAGTAACCTTTACACACAACATTTCATATATGCATGTACATTCTGCAACCTTATAGATGGCTTGTTTAATGATAACTGGGGTTGTTGATTATTTGTAAAGATAACAGGTTATCCAACTATATATTATTCAAATATGATGTATGTACTACGTAATAAGTGGTATTCAGCAGTTTCAGCTGAAATTCTTCCCTCGGCTAAAAGAGTAAAGGTCAGTAGCTATCAGAGGTAGTCCAGAAAATCTTTAAATCATTTAACCACTATGTGGTTAATATCCATGCTAGGACCCAATGAAGTACCTTCCACAAGATTACATTCATGTTTTTGACTATCCTACTTTCTTATGGATGATTGGAAATGTCCTAGAGAATTCAGCTCTAGATATTTATGATATTTCATTTTTGATGATTATCATTCCCTTTTTCAGGTGAAATTGAAAGGCACAACTGTGCGGGGAAATGGTGAGCATGAGATCCTGCTGATTCATCACTCTTCCAGAAAACATAGGGAAGATGATGCTTCAGATGATGAGCGGCAAAATTCAAGAAGAGGTCGGTCCAAATTGGAACGTTGGACAAGCCATAAGGAGAGGGATTTCAATGTCAACTCTAAGTCATCATCTTCCTTGACGGTTGAAGAGACTGATAAGTTTAACAATGGTGGCTCTTTTTCCTTAGCCAGCAAGCTCCCAAACGAATTTTCCAAGACAATTGAAACCATTGAAAATCAACATCCCTTGGGTGATAAAAAAGATGGTGGTGATCTGGAGATTGAGAATGTCAATGCAAAATCGTTGGACGGTAGACACTTGGACACAGTTGAAAAGTTGAAGAAGCGAAGTGAGCGTTTCAAGCTGCCAATGCCAAGCGAGAAGGAAGCCATGGTGATTAAAAAGATGGAGAGTGAACCATTGCCTTCCACCCAAAGTGAAGCCCGTGCAGACTCGGAGATCAAACCGGAGCGTCCAGCTCGGAAGCGGAGGTGGATAAGTAACTAATTGTGGAATCAAGGAATTGATTTTCAATGTTAAAATATGCCATGTTTAGGCTTTTCAGGGTTGACAGCATAACCGTGCTGCAGCCATATACACTTTCTTTATAATGTGTACATAGCAGTGAATGTAACATTGTTCCTGGCCATTTTTCATTTTTTGGTTCGAAGTGACACTTTACAGTGCATTCATTTATAGAGATTGTATACAACTTTTCTTGGTGGTCACTTAAAGGACCTGGTTGTTCCAATAACTGTCTGACCTGAATGAAGGCTGGCGCTTCACAAGGCAAGGCAGTTGATTGTTGCAGGCTACGTCAAGTATTGGTGGCAAAGATTTGGAGAAATTTAATGCGGGGAACATTTGGTTGAAAGAGAATGACCCCTCTACTCTGGAGTAGGAAAGTCATTGAGGTAGATGTAGATTGGTGATCTGCACTTACTGTAGTTTGATTATCTCTGTACCTGTATGATGAGGGTTTTCTCACCCTTTTTTTATTTATTTATATAAATCTGTACAGAGGTTGAGTTTGTATTGTTGACGTTCCTTTTGTGTTTAAGGGACGAGATAGAGAAAGTATTTTGAAGAAAAGATCAGTTACTAGTCAACATTGACATGGACCTGCATTTTCCCAGTGTGTTGATATGAGAGAGAGATGTGATCCTGGCAATGCCAGAAATTATCTAGCAGTAGCACTTTGTGTTTTATCCACCATGTTACTTGTTTTCAAGATTATGATTTGGCTCCTGTTATTTGGTGGGCACATAGCGTATAATTCTTTTGGAATACAGGATAATTACATAATGGCCAATAATGGACCTAGCATTGGCTATAGGTTTGTTTAGTAAGCTTCTGTTTACATGCTATAGGGATCCGGATTACTTTTTTTCGGGATGAAATTGTTGAGACTCTAATTCTCTCTGAAACTTGTTTCAACCGTTGGTGGGCACTACTGTTTTGGGTTGACATTGAAAGGTTTGTCATCCGTGCTTCAGAATTGATATTGGAGGTCATCTGCATTAGGCATTCTGCATTCTGGAATCCAAGGCTGTCTCTAATTGTAATATCCATTTGTTGATGCTCACAAGACATTAGAGCTAATAGAAGTTTTGAATTAGAAAACCACCACTTTGGTAGAGTATTTTGATCAAAGTAAATTAACCTTGATTGTGAACCAACCAACCACCTATATCTACCATCTATAGCTATCAATGGCAGCCTTATTATGCAGCAGAGGAAATGACCAAGTGAAATAAGCCTTTTTTCTTAGCTTGGTAGGTGGAAGTTTAGAACAATGGCATGTGAAAGGATTAAACTAAATACAGTTTGGTTCGCTTTGGGGTGGAAAGTGTGTCATTTGTTTCCTTTTCATTTGTTATGAATGTTTGACTATAGTAGGCATCAGATTTGGAATTATGTTTCAAGAACTAACTGTTCAAAAATTGGAACTACATGTCATTGTGTAGCATCCAAAACAACATCCCAAAAACTCTCTCTCTCTCTCTCTCTCTCACACACACACACACACACACACACACACACACACAAACACACATTAAGGTCGGACTTAGTATTTATTTAGGCTCATTGGGGATCAGATTGGGCAAAGGAAAGGCCAGATTGATGGACTGTTGAGTGGCAGTCCCGTTCCTCCCAAAGTGTAAAGGAATCTGCAACAGTTAGGCCTCAAAGGCATAAGAGATTCTTGCTCTGTTAACCTTACAAGTATCTGTGCATTCATGCAGATTTGCATCCTAGGTTTCATGTTGTCCTAAATATTCTCATTTGAAATATTTTGTGTTGCGACTTGTTTTTAACTTTGGGTGTCAAGACATTTTGAACTCATGTTTTTAACCAGATTAGAGTTGGGCACTCATTCAGCGTATGCTAAACAATTGAGCGAATTTATGCGCTAAGGCGATTGAGCATCTTTGTGTCAAGTGTAGTAATTATTTTCAACTTTTTCACTCCATTAAGCATTTGTTAGGGACTTCCACTCGTATTATTTTGGGCAATCCAACTTGTTTTATATTTTGGATCCTATTGTGCTTATATATAACCTCATGTTTACATTTTTTTAGTTTCCGAACTTTGAGTTTTTACATAGCTATTTCATAAACTCGAGAGAATTTTGAGTTCTCTCATTTTCTAGCATATTAGTGATTATCTGGAGTGTCTTTGAACAAAAATCCTCGTAACTTCACATTACATTGTCCAATCACTCTTGTTCGTTTAGGTAAATGGAGTCATTAATATGTAGAGAATGACGAAGGAGCTTCATAGTGGTCAAACAAATCAAAGAGATTGACTAGGTCAAACCATACTTGTAGAGCGTTTGTTAAATTTGTCAAATAAAAAATTAACTTGGAATATTTAGGGGTAAAATTGTTTTTTTAATTTTTAGAGGCATTTTGATAATTTGGACCCATAGGGACGTATGGTCATTTTGATTCTCAGGAATAAAAGGGTAACTTTACACTTAGAATATCTCCTAAGAGGCCTAGGAGCATTTTGGTCAAATGTTTAAAACGAAAATTTTGATAAAATTGTATAAGTGTTTAAAATGCTCTAAGAAAGGAGAAATCTAACCAACTACAGATGTAATTGGGCTTTTTTTTTTTTGTGAATAAGTCTTAAATTAAAACAAAAAATATACACAAATATAAAGGGCATGCCCCTGGCCCTAACCCCAACTATACAAGTAAGAACAACCAGCCTAAAAAAGCATGCCAAACAGAGAACAAGTTGCGGCAAAAAACAACTTCAATTAACAAAACTAAGATAAACATAGAACCTGGAAAATCCAAAGCTATTAACTAGATGGATAAAGATATACCAAACAATTAAATAACTTAGAATTATAACATAGATAGGAAGACTGAACTCATACTCTAAAATAGATTTTGATTCCCTCATACTCCAAAATAGATTTTGATTCCTTAAATGTGTTCAGGCTTCCTATACAAACTGTATGTGGACCACAAACACATTCCGTAAGCTCAAAAATCTGATACAAAAATGGAGACAAAAAAAGACCATCCCTTACACAGTCCATAAGGGTAGGCCAACAAAAGATTTTCAAAATAGCTACCCAAACAACAGTACTATAGTATATCGGATTCAACAGATATATACAATTTAAATAAAAGCTTTCTTCACACTTGAGGCGCTTAAAGCAACCATCCCTCATTGCTGCCAGCTTCTAGAATTTAGCAAACCCTGCCCAAGATAGACAGTTACATGAGTTCCAAAAGTGCCAGCTATACAACAACAGATAATACATAACAGCTACTGTATGTTTGCACAAACACACAATATATATTCTCATTACACTTAGTCCACTATGAAGGATCTCACATCACTAAAAAATTATCCTTTCCATGCAACCTGCAAAGAAACAAAGCAACAGGAAAATATAATTGTTGGTTAGGAAATGTATATTGCTCACAAACACTCAACTCTCAGTTAAGGTAATTTCACACTCTCAATGCAGACATATAGCAGCTCAATTTCCTGCAAAAATAGCAAAAAATTAGATAACCCCTCAGTTTTATGCTCTCTTGCACTCAACCCACAAGTATTGAACTCCCACCACTCAATGGTTGTGTGGTCTTCAGAATGGTGCGGGGAAGCCTCAAAGAATTCAAGAACCAGCTGTTACTTGGATGCCTTGTAATATTAGTCATAGACATCATATGAAATCTAATCATATCCACAATGCATTTAATAACCTCCTCCTCAGGAATAATCTCTTTTCTGAAAATTCTGTTATTTTTAGCAATCCACAGTGCAAGTGAAAGCCAGTTCAACAATAATAGCTCTAATAGATTTACCTTTAGCAGATTATGCCACATGTTGAGTAATACCAGGCCATTGAATAATAGGCCAAGAGACATTCAACTTAGATCGAATACAAGTCCAGAATCTAGAAGAGAAAAGGCAATAAAAAAACAAGTGATTGTGATTTTCATAAGAGTCCTTACAAAATACACATTCAGTAGATTGAGAAATACCAAACAATCTCAGTCTATCCCCAGTATTCAATCTACCAAGGATTGCCATCCAAGTTACAAAACTAGCCTTAGGGATATTATGGGCCCCCCAAAGAATGGCAACCCAGGGCATTCTATCCTCAGACTTTCTCAAATAATTCAAAGTTGAAGTGATAGAAAATTTCCCATTAGATGAGGGAAGCCATCTGATAGAATCTGGGCCATTATTGGGATGCAGAGTAGAACGAGTGCTCTCAATCAATTCCTTTAATTCCCAAGAAGAAGTAACAGGCCATCTCCAACTAGAATTATCAACAATATCTTTGACCATAGACTCCATACTAAGGGCAGAGTCATAAATAATATGGTCCCCAAACTTAGCCCACAGAGACCCAAGGGGATGTCAATTATCAAACCACAAGAAAATCTTATCCTCATTCCCAACATAGTGCTTAATTAAAGGGTAAATGATAGGTCTAAGGGAAAGAATTTTCCTCCAAACCCAAGATGGAGCACTAGGCATTTTTACCCTCCAAAAGCTCTTGCCTTTAAGCAAGTAAGATTTGACCTATTGACACTATATGGATTGTTCATCCCCAGAAAAGAAAAACCAAATGTGCTTGGCAATGGCAGCTTTATTCCAAATTTCTAAAGATTTGAACTAGTTCTAGGTGATTGATTTTACGGGCTTGGTCTAAGTTATAGGTTTAATAATCAATATTGTGGCTCCGTAAGCATGATGGAGATAGGTACCACTATTTGCAAGTTAAAGACACTTGGATACACAGTTTAGTGGTCTCTGGTGGTTGAAGATGGAGTTTTTGTCTGACATGTAACTTGGAGTGAGTAGCGGCTGTAGACAATACATTTTTACTATTCATAATGCTATAATGCCATCTATTGATGAATTCAAGAGACGATTAGTAACTTACAATTTGCTAACTTTCAGCTGAAATTGAAACGCGCCATGAGAAACTTTATCTTAGTCAAATAATTTAGTTAACCCATTCTAGACTAATTTGAGCTATATTGGATCTTCTGGGGTTCAATTCCTTTTATTCTCCGCAATTCCAAGCCGTTGTTTAAATTATTAACCAAATAATTATAAATTTCAATTATGGTCCCTAAAGTGTTTGTTTTGTATCACTTTGGTTTCTAAAGTTTCAATTTTGTCACTCAATATTATAAAGTTATGTCTTGTCGTCATAATCAACATTTTCGGGACTAAATTGACAAAATTAAAATTTTAGAGACTAATACATAACACATATTTTAGACACTATATGTGTATTTTATTATCATTATTTAAATGGTCCGTTTGACCAAATTCACTAAAATTGAAAATTTTAAGAATTAAATTGACAATTAAAGTTTGAATGACTAGATTGACACGAAATGCATATTTTAAAAACTATAAATGTGTGTAGTCTTTTCTACCATAAACCCCTAAAAGGGGTATACAATATGCAAGTTATGACATTTTGTAATGTTAATACCACAAAACGTCATAACTAAATCATTCTTTATTATAACTAAAAAGACTACAATGAATCATAATCAAACATTGTTTCGGTCATAACTAAAATAATATTCATACATTGTTTCGGTCATAACTAAAATAACAACCATAATAATTCATAATTAACATCACAATGAGTCATAATAAAGTAGGGTCATAACCAAACACCACTTTAAGCATAATCAAATACTTTTTTGTAACCAAAATAACAACTACAAGATGTCATAATTAAGTTATAACCAATACTACAATTAATCATTATCAAATCATAACTAATACCATAATTAATCATAATCAAATATTACAAAGATTATAACTAAAAAAGGTGTATTAATCTTAATCAAATATCAAGAGGATCATAATGAAAAAAATAAAACCGCTGCTAATAGCCTCATGACTTTCCTTAGGACCCCTCACTTCTTTGAATCCCCACTTACCAAAATAGCTTATCACCTCATTTACTTTGAACCCTCACCACAATTCCCAAATATACCTCCACCCCCACCTCCCCTGCCCTTTCTCTAGCAAACTGTTGTCGGCTCCCACTTTTGACAGCCTAGTTCTTCACTATCATTGCCAAATCTATCAACCTCTGTCCCTCTCCTTTTCTCTTAGTCTCTTTGTCTCTCCATCTTTGCTACTTTCTACCACATTAGTACTCTTTTGGCAATGACTTTTTTAGTTGGCTTTTTAGCTTTTTTGACTTTTTTAGCTTGAGACTTTTTTAATCGTTTGGTATTCTTGTTTAACTTTTTTGGCTTTTTAGCTTTGGAATTGTGTATTTTTTTTTTGTATTTTTTTGATTTTTGTCCTTTTGTGATTTTTTGACTTTTTTTTGTCCTTTGTGAATTTTTAGTCCAAAATGAAAACCAAATGACCCTTTAGTAGCCTTACCACCTTTACAGTGGTGCTATATGTAGTGCCCACCAACTCACTTTTGCTATCACAGACTAAGACAAAGGGAGATTGCCAATAAGATGGATACAAATAGAGAAAGATCAAAGTTGTAGCATCTAGTTTGAAAAATCAGTGTCGAACAAACGATGTTAGTTCGGATGTACACTACTGAACAAATAATGGTGGTTCAATCATAAACTATCGAACCAGATCTAGGCAATGTAGACCACCGAACAAATGGCAGGAGTTTAGACATATACCTTCGAACAAATGGTGGTGGTTTAGTCATAGACTATCGAAGCAGATCTGGGTAGATTACAAATTAGAGTGGTGGTTGGAAAGGTCGACAAGGAGGGAAAATCACGATTAGTTATGTGAGGAAAAGAGATTGTTGGCTTTTAGAGGAAATCTAGGTGGTGGTCGCGAGTGGGAGAGACATGGCAATGGCATTGGTTTATAGGAGGAACGATGAGGTTAAAACCACCGGGTTTAGAATTTAGGATTTAGAGTTTTGGGAGGGTGAGATAGAGTTAAAGTTTTGGTTTAAAAGGTTAGGGTTGATATGAATAAAATTAAAATTTTGTGTTGGTATTTGTACGAGCACAAAATAATCTTCTCATATAATCTTGTTGACCAAGTTTACACTTCTCCAAACGTCATCGCTTTGCTACCTGAAAAATAAAAACGTGAACTAGCTAGCGGAGGTGTGCCGAAAACCTCTCCGATGCCTAAATTAGCACAATAGACAATAGATACCAAAAGCTCTGTGTATTCGTGGGTAAAAATTTCAATACTTGTGCATAGGTCCTGGCATGAGCTTTTCTAGAATCTGCTTAACACAATCCCAGTAAGACTCTAACTCTGCTTAGCAGAGTCTTCCTAAGAATCACATACCCAAGGATAATGCTTATCCCTAGAACTCCCCTCTTACTGCAAGTCAAGTGAGATGGCCTAATACTCTGCTCGGCTGACCATGCCCAACCGAGCTACCTCGGCTCTGTGCTCATCATGGCCAAACCGTAATGACCCTAACAAGCTGGAAACCTGCCAAGCTACACCTAGCTTGGCCCACTATTTGTAACCATCTCGGTATGATAAAGGTTTTATCCCTAGATAGCTAAGTTCAAGCCCTAGCAACACATTTGTAACCGACCGAGCTACTCAATAGCTCCTTTTTGGCCCATCGTGCAACCCAATTTTCACCAAATGATGTTACCTAGCTCGACCCCATTTGTTTGCACAAATTGACCTCTCAGTATTAAAATCATGAAAATTGTATTTGGTTCATGGATTTAGAAAGAAATTTAAAAATGGAAAAAGAAAAGATATATTATATGTAAATAAAATACAGTTATATTTTGACCCTATTTGGGAATAATTTTTTTGGTTAAAATAGTCAATAAAGACTAAAAAAAAAATAAAATAGTTAATAAAATAAAATGTCACATTCTATTTATCAATCAATCATTTTTTTTTTCTCACAACCATTTAACTACAAAAAAAATAAATAAATAATAATTCACAAATCATCCTAAACACAATTTTTTTGATCTCATAAAATAGTCAAAAAAACCAATTAAAATAGTCGAGTTTCCAAACAAAGCCATCATTCACGTTTCATCTATCTATTTCTTTTCATCTTCTAAATCTCTATTTAAATTGTTGAATCAAACACGTAGTCAGAACCACCAAGGGTTGTGGCAGCGTGAAAAGGCACTAACCTTCCATACAAGTTAGCATGCCTTGATTCTTGGGACATAACTAACCACTCATTTATTTGATAAAATTAACAGTGCTATATTCCACTCGTGACTTTATTTTATGTATTGAAATTGGTGCAATCTCTGCTTACCTCAACAGCGAATCTTTTTTTAAAAATTTAATTAAGGAAAATGTCTTGTAACTCAAATTTTGTGACTCAAAAGTGACTCAAATGGCCAAAACGACATTGTTTTGGCCATTTTTATGTTGTTCTGTACTCAAAACGAGTCGTTTTGACCATTTGAACCATTTTTGAGCCACAAAATTTGAACTACGTAGCATTGTCGTTTAATTAAATCTAACAGTCCGCTGATTATTATAAAATTATGACTCACAAATATTATAGTACCCTATAGTACCCTTCTTTTCTTTTTTTTTTTTTATTTTTAACACGAGCTTAAAAAAAATAAAGATGGTTCAATCAAATATGTCACCCAATGTAGATCTTCATATATAATCCCCATTTACATTGTCATATATCTTTGTGCCTACACAAACCTGAAAACCCATTCGCTCTCTAAAAAGCTCTCTATTCGTCTCTCTCTCTCTCTCTCTCTCTCTCTCATTCTCATGGAAGACGACGATGACGAGTTCGGAGATCTATACACTGACGTCCTCCGACCCCTCCAATCGTCTGCTCTCTCTCAGAACCGCGCGATCGATCTCAACATTCAGAGCGATGATGAAGATATTCTCTTAATAGCTCCTAATTCTAACCCTAATTTCAATTTCACCAGCTCTCACCAGAACCAAACCCTAGTTTTCAACTCCGATAACGCTGCCCCCGAACTGGGTCTCGCCTCAAGTTCCGATTCTCATCGGAATTTGAATTTGAATTTGGATTTGGATGGTAAGCCGCAAAGTCAAGAAGTGGAGAAAGAAGATGGTTTAGCTGAGGGGGTGAGTAATTGGGGGTTGGGTTTGCCGGAGCCAAGTGTGCCTAGGGTTTTGGAGAGTGGCGGCGATTTGAAATTTCCAAATTTGATAGATGAGTCCGGGATTGATGTTGTTGTCGAGGAGAGAGCTGATAAAGATGATCTATTGGTTGCAAAAGATGAATGTTCTTTGGATAAAAACGATAATTTTGAGAAATTTGATATAGAAGAGGTCAATACTGGGATTGAAGATTTGGGTTCGGAGCCAGTGATACCTGGTCTATCGATTCCTGGTGTTTCGGATGCTGTGGATAATCGAGGTGACTCGAATTTTGTGATGCGGGATGTAGCGAGCGGTGAGGGTGATGATTGGGACAGTGATAGTGAGGATGATTTGCAGATTGTATTGAATGATAACCACGGACCGATGGCGATGGGAAAGACTGGAGTGATTGGAAGTGACGATGAGGACGAAGATGGCGATCCTTTGGTTATTGTTGGTGATACCGAACTGGGTCATCAGCCAATGGAAGAGCGAGAGTGGGGTGAAGATGCAGCACAGGGGGCAGACGGTGAGAGAAAAGAATTGGGCGATGCAGCCAAAGTGAATGGAGGAGTGGTTGTTCCGCCAAAGATTGGGTACAGCAATCATCCATATCATCCGTATCATTCTCAGTTTAAGGTCAGTGATGTTGTACATGTGGGGTTTTGTGTTTTCCCCTTGTGTGATGAGAATTTGAAATGTAATCTGAATTGTAATTATTGTACACTTCAAATGATACTGGGTTCATTTATGTTGTGAAACTTAGTGCTCACAGTGTTGATCAATGTCCTTGTATATGCTTTTCAGTATGATGTTTGGAAATATTTTAATAAAGAGAGTGACCACAAATGGTGGGATTTGTTATTGTACTGATGCCTTTTTTTCTTATAAAACGAAATTGCTACAAAATATACAGATTCTGAAATCAACACTATAATTAAGCAACCGGTCCTTTCGAATATCCTTTTCCAAATTCCAATGAAACTAAATTATTAGTGCCAGGGAAACCACTTCACGATGATGCCTACTACATGCTAACAGTGTTGAGAATCAGCTGTAAATGTGGATGTGTTCATTTACTGATAAAGCTCATACAGCTTTAAACATGGGAGTCCTATAATTTCATCAGCTGTACTATCTTAGATGCAAAAGCAGGTGGCAGTGGCATGCTTGAGCTACAATAGTTCATGTTCGGCGTTTATTTAATTTCGATTACATCAGGCCTTGTGCACTGGACGGTTCTTGATTGGCTGAACAGTTTCAGGCAGTTTGCTCAATGAGTTTCTTTGAGGCATAGCTGACCTTGGTAGTTGATTGGTGGTGTCCGGCAGTGGTTGACATTATTCGTTTGATTGTTTGTTTTCAGTATGTAGCATTTTGGTTGCAAGAGTTTATGAGCCTTTTTAATAACGCCACACAAGCTTGCTGATCCAAAAAGAAAAAGAAAAAAAAAAATTGAAGCCACACACTGGTCTTGCATTTTTGGTGCCCACAAACCATGTGCATAATGCAATGAAATGATGGAATCTTTTTGATGAAAGTCTTAAAAGCAAGTTACTCTTGATTGTTAAAGCCAGATTATGTAATTGAAAAAGCACAACACACAGTTGGCTAAATTTTTTCGAACTTTTGTAATAAATTTCATGGATAAAGTTTTAGCAATTCCAAGATGTTTAAACTTCCAAATTTGATTTTTAGTTAATTGAATACATTTTGTTTTTATTTTTTTTTTGGTTTATTTTCTTTCCAATTGCATATTTCGAGATGCCCAAGCAAGCTCGTAGGCAAGAATTATGGAAATTGCCTTTCTCGTCTTGTATGCTCTGGTAAATCTTCTGATTTACATGTAAAAGTTATCATGGTCTGCACTCCTAATTTGTCGATTTCTTCTTTCTTTTTGGTTAGAAATGCTTTTCTTTATGGACTTCTTGTGTAAGTTATCTTTATTTTCTTTGTTTCTTTTACGAAATCCGTTTACTGTCAAATAGATTTTAAATGCACGGATGTAACTTGAAATAATTTAATAATCTCTATAATTCTAAAAATAGTGAAAAGTTACTGTTTTCTTGAAATTGGGATGTCCGTGCATGAGGATGCTTACAAATTGATTATCTGGACATTCCATTGATTTTGTTTGATACTGATAACTGCAAAATTTTACCATAAGATGTTTAAATCATTGTTATTGCAAGCTTGTGTCAATTAATTTCTTTTTCCTCTTTGTTAAGTGTTAGTTTTATCGTCAATTTTTTTTTTTTGTTTTTTCAAACTGTGCAGTATGTGAGACCTGGTGCAGCTCTGATGCCTGGAGCAGCTCCTTTTGGCCCTGGAGGAGTCCCAGGTCAAGTTGGTCCGCCAGTCAACATGGGGCCTGTTGTCGGCCGTGGTAGAGGTGATTGGCGGCCAACAGGAATAAAAAATGCTTCTCCAATGCAGAAAGGTTTTGTTCCAGGGTTTGGAACACCTGGAACAACAGGACGTGGTTTTGGAACAACAGGACGTGGTTTTGGCAGTGGGTTGGATTTCACACTTCCATCGCACAAGTAACCTTCACATAGTTGCACTTGCTGTATATATTATTTATATGCTTAATTATGCTTTGTTTTGATGATGGCATGTGTTATTAGTTGAGCATATTGCTGCTTCTTTTTAGATTCTTGAATTTGCTATATTATGTCTTTGATTCTTTTTCGATTAATTACATGAATGATTCTTGAAGTATGTGTTTTGTTACACTTTAGTCCTCAAATTTTTGATTGTTTCACTTTGGTCCCCAAACTATGGATTGGTTACACATTAGTCCCTAGAGTCAGCACCGTTTAAAATTAGTTATGCAAAGGAGTATTTCATAATTTTACAAAACAAATACAACAACATAAGAAAGTTAGGGATACAAATGTAAAAAAGTTCACAGTTTGGAGACAAAAATGAAATAAAACACATATTTTAAGACCCAAAATCCTACAACTACAAAATGCTTACTTTTAGATCATATGCATATTTTAGTCATTTTGATTTTGTTGAGACTTCATATAAAAATTTCAAAAATATTTCTCATTCTCTTACTGATTTTGAACGACACTGAGTTTTGGGACTAAAGTGTAACAAATTGCATACTTTGGCGACCAGAGTGGAACAATTAAAAGATTGGGAACTAAAGTTGAACGTATATTTTGAGGACCATTAGTGTAATTAACCCTCCCTTTTTTATTCTAAAGTTATTGAATTGTGGAGAAAGTTCATGTATCATGTTGACAGCCCTTTTTAAAAAAAAAATCATTATCTTTATGTGCAGTTTCTATTGAGCTTATGTGTATATGGAGATGTTTGAGTCTTTAGTTCCTTATCCTGTAGTAGGAACTAGGATGGCTATGATACATGCAGAGTATGGCGAGCTGGTTTTTGCATTATTAGGGTTTGGATATAGTGCCAGTGATGCAAAGTTGTTAATCCCGTATGTGCCGTTTTCATTGTTTGTATCGTACATACTAGTAGGAGTGCATTGCAGGATACTGTTTCAGATTTAATGCTATGAATTATGTATTTAATACTTTTTTTAAAATAAGTAATTAACTTAACGTATGAGGGCAAAAAGATGCACTTGGTGAGATGGGAGACTATTTCGTTGTCTAAGGATAAAGGGGGGCTTGGCCTAGGGAACATTATAGCAAGAAATCTTGCTCTCCTTGGAGAGTGGCTATGGAGATTTCCTTTGGAGAGTGACTCATTATGGCATTCTATTATTAAGAGCAAGTATGGGGTTCATATCTAGTCATATGGTTTTGAGGGGTAATTGTTGATCTCCTTGGAAGTTGATATCTCATATCTTCCCTTCTTTTTTTTTCTAGATTTCTCTCTCTAAAGGTGGGAAATGGGGAGTCAATCCGATTTTGGGAGGATATTTGGGTGGGAAATTCTTCTTTTGATAGTGACTTCCCGGGTCTTTATAGGATAGCAAATTCTCACGGCTTCTCCATTTCGTTGTTGGCATGCTCTAGTTCTGCTCCAATTGCATGGAATCTTAGTTTTGCTAGAAATCTCAGTAATAGAGAGGCTGGGGATTTAGCATCCTTGTTGTCTCGCATTGAGTATTTGTCATTGGTTTCTTCCTCGAGTGATAAGTTGGTTTGGCTTTTGAATAATTCCAGAATTTTTTCTTGCAAATCCTTTTTCAATAAGATCATTGACAAGCCAAATATTCCACTTTTTCCTCTTCACAAAAGAATCTGGAAATCTTTTATGCCTCTCAAAGTGAAGGTTTTTATATGGTCTGCGGTTCGTGGGAGTATTTTGACCAACGATGTTCTTCAAAGGAGGAGGCCTTACCGTTATCTTTCTCCTCAATGGTGCATTATGTGTAAGGAAGAGGGGGAGACTCTGAATCACCTTTTTGTTGCACTGTCCAGTGGCAAAGGGGTTGTGGCAGCAGTTTTTTGCGTGGGGTGGTCTTGCTTGGGTGGTGCCCAAGTCATGTAGTTCAATGCTTTCTATTGATTTTCGTTTTTTGGGCATTAACAAAAAAGCAAAGTTGTTGGGGCTTTATGTAGTTTTTGCTCTATTTTGAGTCATATGGTTGGAAAGGAACGCGTGGATCTTTGAGGACAAAAGTATTGACGTACGGTCGATGTGGGAGAAAATAGGATTTCCGGCATCTTTTGGGGCCTTAGTTGCTCCCTCGTTTAGGGGAATCCCGGTTTTGTTAATTTCTTGTGAATGGAAGGCTGTGTGTTTTTCTTAGTTGTTTGCTGGCTTTTGCTTTTGAGAACTATTTGTCCTCCTTTGTATCTTGTTGTCTTCTCTTTTCCTTATTTTAATAAAACTTTCTTTTGTTGCTGATCAAAAAAATAAAATAAAATAAACTTAAAGTAAAACATGATGTTGCTTCTAGATCCTTCTCAACCCCCAAATCACGTGTTTATCTTTTTCCTTTATGTAACCCTTTCTTCTCCACAATCGCTTGGATCCTTAAATCCTCGACCATTGGCAGCTAAATTTTGAGTCCCAAAACTCACTTGCAGAAATCACTGAGTGCTTGCCACAGTTCCCCTCACTGCTCCTTCTCATTTCCCATTCCATAGCAGCTGCCGCCACTGCTACTGCATTCATTGATTCACTCTGCTAAGCTCATGGCCATGGTCCCAAGACAATGAAATCAATGTTTAGGAAGGTGCTTTATTGTTGAGGTCAATTGATCATGTTTGTTCTTTGATTGAACTCTCTTCTTCTTCCTTTTTTTTTGTAATTAATAATGTTACACAGGTTTGATGATATGAAGATATTTTTGTATTGCTTTCCAGAAAAATTGCCAACCATTACATATCCTAGTAGACCCTGGCAAGCCCAAAATTATCCAGTCCAGTGCAAACCGAAAAATACACAGAACGAAATTGGGTCCCCATTCTACCAAGCTCTTGATAAAACGTTATGTACCAGGCGTACCTTTTGGCACAATTCAGTACGAAATGAGATAAAGAAAACATAGAGGAGAGGCAAGAACGATAATGCTCTTTAGGTGGCCCCCTCAATCTACGAAATGAGATTCACAGGAATGCCCTGTTTGCTATATTCAGTACGAAATGATATTTTTCAGGACATCATGATAGTACTGTATCCCACATGAGAAGATGAACAACTTTGCTATATTATCTTGTTAGAGTGACATCATTTTTTTACCACTCTTTTGTTGTTCTATTGTTTAAGTTGTTGAAAAGAATTTTTGCTGAAATTGTTAAATGTTGTCATGATTATGTTCCATTTTAAGGTGAGGCTTAGACATGGCCTATTTCGATTGATGACTTCTCATGCCAATGATCAATTTCCTTCTCTTCACCCATGTGCAACTTGTTTGTTTACTAATGTCAAGGAGATAGGGAAATTTAAAAAAAAGAAACAAAAGAAAAAAAAAAGAAGCCCAATTAGTACACATTAATGTGTGTTTGGGAGGAAAAAGATTGGGAAATTGATATTTATTATTTAATTTAGAGGAAACATAGAGGGATTTAAAGTGGAGCAGTAACGATCGTAATACAAATTGAAGTAAAGAGTGGACACAAATTAATTTCCTAGTATGGTTTTCACTGAGTATTTCTTTTTGTGTTGTTTGATGATTAAACTATTGCATGGGAAGAGATTCATAATGTATGTCTTTTGCTGCTGAGATTTAAGGTTAGAAAGGATAGTGCATTCTAATATAGAATCATAGAAAGAGGAGTAATGCTCTGTAGGTTTTTAGGATATGCGGGAGTTAGCAAAGGATAGGCCTTGGAAAGTTCTTTATAGTAATAGTATGACAGCCTTGAAATGATATGGTGGTGAAAATTCATGGCAACAAGATTACCTGAAGGCTATCATGTTTTGTTAACTTCTTGAATTGATTTGTAGGGAGAACCTGGCAGAGAATTTTGTAGAGAATGTCAGTCAAAGAAGCATTGCTTTAGGATGTCAGTCAAAGAATATTGTAGAGCCAGGGCATTTTTCTTGCAACATTGCTGGCCTTGTAGCTGTCTTATAAAACTTTCGATATAAAACATAAACACTGTAAATGGCCTTCCCAATTAGGACATTCGGTCACAATTTTTCTCAATCAGGTAATCTGTTTCTTTGATGTCTCCCCCGCCCTCCGACCCAAAAAAAAAAAAAAAAAAAAAAAAAAGAACAGAAAGGAAAAAAAAACTTCCCATCTTCCTTTCATGTTTTTTTATCTTACAGTGTGGGCTTAGCTTTTTCTGAATTCCAACAGTTATTCATGTTGAGGTTGTTTGGTGGCTTTTTCTGCTCGTTTGTAATGCCTCGGCATTGTAGCACAGCAGAAGCTGCAGAAACAGGCACTGTTTCTGTTGCAGGAAATTCTGGTTTACATAACTAAAGATGCTGTAACCTGCTTTTTGTTTTATTATGTACATATATATATATATATATATATTTCATGTTGGAAACACATTTAAATGTGAAATTTTGCTTTTTTTGACCTTCTCAACTATTCACAGGACTATATTTGAAGTTGACGTTGATAGTTTTGAGGAAAAACCGTGGAGGCTCCCTGGTATTGATATATCAGATTTTTTTAACTTTGGTTTGAATGAGGAGAATTGGAAACATTATTGCAAACAGTTGGTAAGTATTACCGTTTATTGTGTCCTTTCCTATATTGATGGAATCTGAGAGGATGCTGAATTTAAATTCTGCAGGAACAACTTCGCCTGGAGGCAACCATGCAAAGCAAAATTCGCGTCTATGAAAGTGGGAGAACAGAACAGGTAATAAAGTGCTTTCTCATAGTGATGTATCCATGACTATTAGTATCTTTCATTGCCTAAGTCACCTTTTGTGGCTAGATGACAAAACTTGTGTATTAATTTTAAAAGGAAGGCCATAATATTTGAAAGGGTGGAGACTCAGTTTATTCACTAATTAAGGTAGTGAAAAAAAATTAAGGTATTGCTTCATTCATTCATTAAGTTTTTTTTAAATGATCATTTAATAATTAATGATGATTTAATTTATAATTTTTTTTTATATCATTTTTCAATGAACCAAACGTGAAGTATACATTCTAATGAAATAACCGTTATATTTTTATTCATTCTAATTAATTAAACACTAACAAAGAGTTCATTAGTTATTTGAAAAGCTACTAATCAATAGTAATAAAAAAAATAAGACAAAATGACAATTATAAAAATATAGAGATTTCAAAGAAAACATAGAGGAGAGGCAAGAACGATAATGCTCTTTAGATGGCCCCCTCAATCTCGGAGTTCTGGCTCCGCCCATGACTATTAGTATCTTTCCTTGCCTAAGTCACCTTTTGTGGCTAAAAAAACAAGCAAAGGAGTTTTTATCTTTTATTGCTCTCAATTCAGGAGTATGATCCAGATCTGCCGCCAGAATTAGCTGCAGCAGCAGGTATTAATGATATTTCATCTGAAAATGGAAATCTTGGGAAGATGGATGCTGGACAAAGTGATATAGCAAAAGGATCTGCACATGTGCGGCCACCATTGGTATGTGTTGGTGTTGATCTTGTAGTATTTTTTGTTTTTGTATTTTCCTAGTCCTGAAGATAACTTGGTCATTATTTAGATTTTAATGTATCTAGTAAAAATGGAACTCTTTAAATGCATAGAGTTAGTTTCTCGTGCCAGTTTTTGGGTTCACTGGTTTATGTGGTTTCCTACCAGCCAACTGGAAGAGCAATACAGGTGGAAACTGGTTATGGTGAGCGTCTCCCGTCCATTGATACTCGGCCACCTCGTATACGTGATTCTGATGCAATAATTGAGGTGAGTGGTCAACACTGTCCATGAACACATTGATATCAATCTTATTATTCTGATGCATATCTTTACACCATATGTGCAATTCAATTGCACTTATATTGTTTGGGAAACAGATTGTTTTGCAGGATTCAGCAGATGATGATTCCATTAGGGGAAATGATGTCACAGAGCAGCCAGAAAAGGATTACTCGAGGGAGGATTTCAGGGGAAGCCATGAAATTGAATGTGATGTTGCAGAGGAAGAAACTGTACATTTTGATGGTTCCTCGCGTGCCTATAATGGTAGGAAGAGGGAACTGATTGAAAGAAAATCACCCTCCATGAATTCTGTTCCGGATAACCTTACTGAGGGAGATGGAAGTTTGCCTTTGCCCCCATTAACAGGAAGAGATGTTGGCACCCTCTATGAGGATAGGTATGAAATAATGTTGGATTAAATTCAGTTCATTTTCTTTAGCATAAAGTTTTTAAGTTAATTTAACTCTCGCTAACCTGATAATTCTTTGTACTACATTTATGGAATAATGGAAGTTAATTGATCAAAGGCACTTGATTGATTTATGTCATATGTGCCAGTGAGCAAGAAGAAAAAAGAGGTAAGCAAGCAAATAACAAACTATGTGCTTATAAAATGCTACTGAATGTAGTCTCATAAGCAGTTGAATGCATGTTGAGGAATTGAAATAGAATGAGGACTAAATCATGTTCTTATTATTAACTGTCATTCTAGCCCTAACGAAAAACAAAGTGCTTGTAAAATGCTTACTTTGTTCAAGGAGGACCAACTGAAGAATTGAATGCTTGTCATGAACTGAATCATTTTTCTTCGGGATTGTTATAACCAACTATTCCTGGAATTTGTACTATTCTGTCTTATTTCTATATGTATATATGTACTAGTTTGTTTCCTCCCGGCTTTCAAGTTGTATGTAGTGCTGATTTGGTGGCCTAGATCAGTGATGTTTTCATAGCTCAAATTAACCACTATCTTCTTCTTGAGAAACCTCTGCACATATTTAATGTTTGACACATCTTCCAATTATTCTTGTGGTTTATGTTGTCATCATGGTTATGATTTTTCTATATGTTGAATAAATTGACCTAGGAATTTAAACTAATTTTCATTTTGTTACATTGCATCTGAAGTTAATTAATACCTCTATCTAACTTTCTTCTTAATCCAGGCAGACAAAGGGAAGAACACACGACAGATCCCCCAATATGACCCATAGTGAAAGTACACTGGATAAAAGATTTCGTGACAATCAGAAAGAAGGTTCAGTTGAAAGCATTGGTGAAGAACATATCCCTCGATTATCATCTCCCGTCACTGTTGGGAGTGCTGAGGATCTTGATGTTGAACATGGTGATGGTTTGCATGATGAGCTGGTGCTGGCCGGTAGAAGCTCTGGAATGGATAGAGAGGAAGTGACCTTGGATGCAAGAACTACAACTGATACCCGCATAGATGAAAATCCTTTGCCTTCTGTGAAAAAGCAAAAGTTAAGTTCGCGAGTTGAACAATCTTCTCTTCAAGAATTTGATGATGGAGGGGACTTAAAGGCATCGAGAAGTAGTGATAACAGCAAAGGAAGGTCAGGGAGCAGCAGAGATTATCAGAAATTGCATGATAGTGTTGACGAGGAAGTTGTTGAGCGTGGACATTCTACACGCATGGTGAATTTGAAGCGACCCCATGGTGAAGATGAGCCTAGTGTTAGAAGCAAAGGTCGTGATGAGAGACATGAGATGGACAAAAATCGTTTGGTGGAAAAAGGTCGGGAGGATGCCTATTCTCGTAGAGATTGGGATCCTCACTTGGCCCATCACTTGCACAGGAAAACTGAGGTTATAGATAGGCGAAAAGAGAGAGATGATTCTGAGGGAGCTTGGCAATGGCAAGATGAGGATCCACATGGTATGCGGACTAGAGCTGAAGACACAAGGAAGCGAGAGCGTGATGCTGAAATAGGGTCAAGGCACCGGAACAAGGTTCAAGAAAGTGAGAGGATGGACAAAGATGAACATCTTCAGTTGAGGAAACAGTTTGATAATGGTAATTTAAGGGCCCATCACGATAAAGATGTGCGATCACGACACAGGGAAAAGGAGGATAATATGAGAAGTCGATATGAAAACGTGGATGATCTCCATAGAAAAAGAAGAAAAGAAGAGGAACATTTGAGGAGGGATGCTGAAAAGGAAGAAATCTTGCGGGGCTATAGAGAAAACTCTAGTCATCGAAAGCGAGAAAGGGATGATGCTTTGGATCTGCGTAAGAGAGATGAGCAAGTGAGAACTAGAGATGATGATCAACATTCTGCCAGACACAAAGAAGAGAGCTGGATTCACAGAGAGAGGGGTGAGAGGCAGAGGGAGCGGGATGAGAGGCACATGATCAAACAATCATATGAAGAAAGTTTATTGAAGCGGGAAAGAGAAGAAGAACGGGGAGGAGTAAGGAGTGCTCGAGCTGCAGAAGACAAAGCACGGGTTAGCCATGCTAGATTGAAGGATGAGTATAAAGGTGCTGATAGAGGTTACCAATTTAAAGACATAGGGCGGCATGGTGAGCAACCTAAGAGGCGGGATCGGGTTGAGGATGGAAGCCTTTTGCAGCATAGGGGATGGGAAGATGTCCATTCACATGGAAACCAACTCAGCATTAATGAGAAAAGGCAGGAAAGGGCAAGTACTCGTGATCGTGCTATTAGTGGTTCTGATAACAATAGGTTGCATGAAAAAAAACATAAAGAGAACATGAGGAAGAGTAAAGAATCAGAGGGTGGTGAACAAAACTCCATGGGCCATTCCAAGAGAAATCAAGATGACCAAAGTGGTTGGATGAATGAGCCGGTATGTTACATCTCTTGATACAATAATATGCCATTCTGTGGAGGAAAAAGCCTTCCCCTGGTGTTGAATTATTATGAAATGAACTAAGAGCACGTTTGTTACGATGGAATGGGCTGGAATGGAACTCCCTTATTTGGTATGCCTTATCCAAGTGGGAATAGTAATTCCTGTGGAATAGCTATTTCAACAAATTGTGGGAATGCCTAGTCTTTCCTCCAAACTAAGGAACTTTTCATTCGATCATAGAATCACCTTAAAACAATGTCAATTGGCTATCAATCACTACCATTCCCTTCTACTACCACCCTCCGTCCACCGCCACCACTACAACCACCACCATTACCACCACATCACCACCACCTTACTACCATCACTACCACTAGTGCCACAACCACAACATTATCACTACCAACCTATCGCTGCTACCACTACACTGCCACCGTCGCCGCAATCATTATAACGATCGTCGCCATAATCATTACAACCACCACATCACCACCACCACCATCGCTACTACAACCACCACTTTACCACCATTACCACTCTACTACCACCACCACCACTGCCACCTCCTCCATAACCACACCCAAGATCAAAACCAAACCAAAGCAAGCCTGAAGTCCTATCAAATAGGGTCGGCTCCATGAACCTTTATTCTCCATTTAACTCTATCAAAGGTCATTTGGTTAGTCAAAATAAGAAGAATCATATCTCTCTTTACTACACTAGCCTACGTCAATTTAGGTTTGTCCCTTTCCCTAACACTTTCATTTACTGTTACTGTATAGCATCTTTTCACTACTGCCTCTGTTGATTTTCCTTGTATATGACCAAACCATCTCAATCTATTCTCTCTCAACTTGTCTTCTATCGGTACTACTACCCATTCACGAATAGACTCATTCTTAACTCTGTCTTTTTTAGTCTTGCCACACATCCATCTTAGCATCCTCATCTCAGCAACACTCATCTTATCTACATGTTGTTTCTTAGTTGACCAACATTCCGTCCCATATAACATCGCTGGTCTAATAGCCATTCTATATAACTTTACCTTTAGTTTAGTGGATACTTGTTTATTGCATAGTACCCAAGACACACTCCTCCACTTAAGCCATTCTGCCTTAATTCTATGGATCACATATGCTCTAATCTACTCAATCGTTGTGATAATCGATCCTAAATAACGAAAATGTTCACTCTTAGGTAGTTCTTGGTGCTCAATCTTTACTTTTCCTCTGTTTCCATTGTTACTGTTATTAAAATTACACTCCACGTACTCTGTCTTAGCTATGCTTATCCTAAATCCTTTAGATTCAAGTGTTTTTTTCCAAGTCTCCAACTTAGTGTTAACTCCTCTAGTCTCATCCACTAACACGATATCATCTACAAAAAGTATACACCATGGCACATCATTCTGAATATTTCTCGTTAACTCATCCACTCCTACGATCGACTTTGATTTTTTTGGGGCCTAAAGCAAACTCTCAATATGGGGGCTTTCATACATATTGAAAATAATCGTGATTAAAAGATTATGTATCTTCTTTCTTTCTTTTTTTTTAATTTGAAAATGCTTACAAAAAGGTTAGTTTCATATATAAAAATTAAACACAATTAAAGTTTACTTAAATATATAACAAAGTCTACAATAAGAAAAAAGGACCAAAATAATTCAAGCTGAAGACCAAGCTTGCATAATCCAACTTATCAACTAAATCATTTTTAATGTATAAAATTGTTAATCCATTCATTTTTTCTTGTGATGGTTGATCGAAGGTAAGATGTAATCAACTTCAACTTTGAAAAGTTTCTTTTTCCAAAAGTAACTGTAATAGGGAACCGTATTCTATACACAATCCCTACATTTGGGAAATAACCATTCATTAGTTCTAAATAATTCATCACATCACATCAATTGGCTTTTTGATTTTTTCGAGTAGTAAAAACCATTCATTAGTGTTAAATCTCATCATTGAATTTTGTTGGGGCCTTTCAAATTTAAGTGGGGGGTTTTTTTTTTTTTAGGGTTAACATAATAGCTAAAAAGAATTTGGTGCCCTCTTTTTAATCAATTTTCGGGGGCCTAAAGTGGGCAGCTTTGCTAGCTTTACCTCAAAGCTTGCCTTGACTACACCACCTTACTACCATCACCTCCACTACCTTCACCACCACCACACCGCCATCGCTGCCTCAACCACCACCACCTCCATCACCACAACAACTACACCACCACCACCTCTACGTCACCACACCACCATTGCTGCCACAACCACCTCACCACTACCATTTTCACCATCACCACCCCCACCATCCTACAATGATTTCCCATCACCACCATCATACCACACTACAACCACCATCGATGCAACCGCCGTTGCCACTACTCTCACCATCACTTACACAACTATCAACACTATCAGAATTTTTTAAATTATGTGACAAGAGGATCATTGGGGGTGGGGGGGTATTGTCATATTTTTTTAGTTATTTTCTCTGAAAATGTAAAAACATTTATTCAATTACATGTAGTCTCGTCATGGTTTTAGATATAGGAATCGACATTTGTGGTTCCCATTCTAACTCAATGTCAGCTATATGACTTGCTATTCTTCTGAACATGCAACGACATACCAAAGAGATCAATTTAATATTCTTAGAAGTGTTGGAACCATGTCATAGATAAATTTTCAAATGTTGTTGCAGGTAGTATATATTCAAAGGGTGTCAAATGGCTATCTTATTAGTCCATCTGACTGTTAAACCAAACTTGATCTAGGTGACTATTTCCATATCCATGACTCTTAAAAGTAATCTATAAATTTGGTGAGTTGTGTGCCATTTAATTTCATTTCTAGAGAATATGATTATTCAAATCTTGTAAATCATCCTTTATTTGTTCTTTCATTTTTTCTTTTTTCTTTTTTGGTGGTTAAAATGCTCTAAAAGTTAATTAAGATTAGTTTATTGCAAACTATGGTCAACCTGTGTATTAGTTACGTTATAGAATTGTGTTAGCCTTGAGAGAACCGTGCACACTGGTAGTCTCTCTCTCTTTTCTGTTATTCTCCTTTTCTCTCTCTTCTTCTCCCTCCCTCCTTCTTTCCCCCTTCCCTTAACTTTTTATTCTTGACTCCCTATGTTCTTCTTCCCTTTTCCCTTTCTCTTTCGATTCTCCTTTTCTTTCTCTCTTTCTCTTCTCTGCTTTTCTCTTTCTAACCTCTTTTTTCTGTGAGAGATCCATTGGTGTTCTACAGCATACATGTATTATAAGTAAAAGATATTTGCAATAATACCTTTTATAATATTTGAAATTTTAGTTTGTTAGAGCTCAACTGGAAAACAAACAACTGGCATTGGGGTATCTAAAATTTATTGATATATTACAATTTTGGAAATAAAGTAAGAGTAGTTACTTACATCCAAGGTTTTAAAAAGCGGCCGCAACCGTTACGTAACGCCGTTACGTAACGGTTTTGGCGGTTACCGCCACCCGTTACGGCCGCTTTTGCAGTGTGATTGAAATTCACAGGTGTGTCGGCCGTAGTGGCTGTCATAGCGGTCGTAACGGTGCCGTACCGCTTTTCAGAACCTTGCTTACATCCCTTTATAACGTTTAAAGGGGCTTATGTTTTTCCAAGCCCACCATTGGGATCTATACTTTTATTGTACTTGTTTTGCACATCAAGTATCAACTAGATTGGATATGGCTAGTGTCCGAACAATAAACTTGAAATTTGCTAGATAAACTATAAAAATGAAACTGTTAAATTAAGTGTGATGTTGATGAGATGGTTGCTCAATCACCTATCTATAACAACATAGGAGGGATACAGTCCAGAGGTTGGCTTGACCAAAAACGAATCTTAAGGCTTGTAAGAACAACAATTTGCACATCAAGTGTAGTTTAGTAGGGGGTCTATTCTTACATCAGGTGTAATTTTATCCTGCCCATTTATTAGATATGTATATATGCAGTTCTTCTATATTGTATCATGTAGTAGTAAATATTTATGCCGACCTACTTTTGATTGACTTTCAATGCTTTTGTTGATTTTATATTCTCATCAGCTTGCTCTGTTCACTGTATGCACAATGCATGTTGATCATGTATATTCATCATCCATTGACTCTTCAGTTTACAGTCTACGCCATTCAAGAGAGTTTCTTTCAAAAATTTTGGGGCTTTCATTGAAATCTAAGAAAGCTGAAATCAACGTTGATGTTCATTATTATTCCCATGCTTTCGGATATTTGATCTCTCTTTTAGTATCATGGTTTGAGTACCATGAAAGTATGAATCTGATTGATAATTTGATTTAAAATCATGATCTCAAAGGAGCTGAGTCAATTGTTCATTAGGTTTTAGGATCATGAAGGGCAAGGTTTCAAAAAGCGGTGTTACGGAACAGTTGTGATGGTAGGCACTACCCAAGGTTTCAAAAACCGGTGTTACGTAACGGTTGCGGCGGTAGGCACTACCCGTTACACCCGCTTTTGTGGTGTGACGGAAATTCACACCTGTATTGGTTGTTTCGATGTTACGTAATGGTCGTAGCGATATCGTAACGGCCCGTTACACACCATTACATATATTTACAATATTCTGAACAGTTTCCTTTTCAAAAAAAAAAACTTACAAAATATGCATTATACACATTTTGCAATATTCAATAGCTCAAAAATAATTTTTGTTTGTCTCAATTTTTATTTTTATAATCATTAATAATTGTAAACATTTTTTATTTAGTTAGTTCAAATATTGGTCCAAAATAATTTTGTAGACATTTTAAAAATAAATAAAAATAAGAGGTACAATATGGATTTATGACATATAAAGTCATTTAACTATTGAATTAAAATCTAAAAAGCTCATTTCATAGTGATTTAAAAGTAGGAAATATATTGGATCATACTTAAAAACTAACAAAAATTGATCAAAATCTATTTTAAACCCCAATAAATGTGATTTTGAAGAAAAAAAATATGTGTGTCGTGCAAATTTTTTTCAAATTGTGTGAAAAATAAAAAATTCACGATTCCGATTACCGCAACTGTTACGCTACGGCTTTTACACCCTGCAATCGCAACTGTACCACTGCATCCACTTTTTGAAACCTTGGAAAGGAGTCAAAGACATTAGCTGCACCAACTATTTTTTATTTAAATAATTTGGGTTACTAATAAATTTATTAGCACATAGAAGATAAAAACATGGAAAAAATTATTTATTGAAAGAGATTCATACTTGCGGAAAACAAAAAGAACAAAATTTGTTGATTTAGATTTGAGTACTGATATACAAACAAAAATTCATATATAATTTTTATACAGAAGGATGTGACTTAGTGTGGATTTTTTCACTTTAAAATCAAGCACCCATGAAGTTGAGTTTATTTACTAGAATGGCATCGTCAGATCATTCTTGTACAAATTTTGTATGAATTATATGTATGAATAGAGTTTTCCTTGAGATGCTGACTCAATTAGGGAATTTTAACTTGAATTGTTGGCTTTGATGTTGGGAGGAATGTTATATTTGTTGTTGTACTCTGTTGATAAGATGTTGCTCCCACCCATTTGGTAAAGTAATCAATTAATTGCATTGCTAATGCCATTTTGTTTACATGAATTGGTTATAGTTGAGACCACACCCATGAAGTTGAGTTTATTTACTAGAATGGCATTGTCATATCATTCTTGTACAAATTTTATATGAATTTTATATATGAATAGAGTTTTCCTTAAGATTCTGACTCAATTAGGAAATTTTTACTTGGATTGTTGGCTTTGATGTTGGGAGTAATGTTATATTTGCTGTACTGTTGATAAGATGTTGCTCCCACCCATTTGGTAAAGTAATCAATTGATTGCATTGCTAATGCCATTTTTTTACATGAATTGGTTATAGTTGAGACTGTGGTAGTGAATGCCTGGGTTATTATTGTAAAGATTGCTGCATTGTGTTAGCTAGATAGTCATTCTTTGTTTGGTTTTCATAGATTAGTATCTATGATGTCTTTGTTCTTTGTTCTATAATGTTGTCTATAATTGTTTGAAGACATTTTCTTCCTTGGTTATTGCTATAGAAGTACTTTCTGAAATGTTTATAATTACAATTTACAATGCATTACTCAAATATGATGTATGAAATACGTGGTAATCAGCAGTTTCAGCTGAAATTCTTCCCTCGGCTAAAAGGGTCAAGGTCAGAAAATCAGAGATAGTCCAGAAAATCTTTGAATCAATTAATCAGTATGTGGTTGATCTCTGTGCTAGGACCCAATGAAGTTATCTTCAACAATATTAGATTCATGTTTTTGACTATATGTTACTTTGTTATGGGCGATTGGAAATGTCCTAGAGATTTCAGCACTATATGTATATTTTTTATTTTTCGATGATTATCATTGCCTTTGTTCAGGTGAAATTGAAAGGCACAACTGAGTGGGGAAATGGTGAGCATGAGATCCTGCTGATTCATCACTCTTCCAGAAAACATTAGGGAAGACGCTTCTTCAGATGATGAGCGGCAAGATTCGAGAAGAGGACGGTCCAAATTGGAACGTTGGACAAGCCATAAGGAGAGGGATTTCAATGTCAACTCCAAGTCATCATCTTCCTTGAAGGTTAAGGTGATTGACAAGTTTAACAATGGTGGCCCTTCTTCCTTAGCCAGCAAGCTCCCAAATGAATCTTCCAAGACAGTTGAAACCGTTGAAAATCAACATCCCTTGGGTGATCAAAAAGATGTTGGTGATCCAGAGATTAAGAACGACGATGCAAAATCCTTGGACGATAGACACTTGGACACAGTTGAAAGGTTGAAGAAGCGAAGTGAGCGTTTCAAGTTGCCAATGCCAAGCGAGAAGGAGGCCATGGTGATTAAAAAGATGGAGAATGAACCATTGCCTTCCACCCAAAGTGAAGCCCGTGCAGACTCGGAGATCAAACCGGAGCGTCCGGCTCGGAAACGGAGGTGGATAAGTAACTAATTGTGGAATCAAGGAACCAATTTTCATTTTTGTTTGGGAGTACGCAAGTAAGAGGAACCAAATTTCAATATTAAAATATGCAATGTTTTGGGTTTTTGGGGCTGGCGGCATAACTGTGCTGCACCCATATACACTCACTTTATTATATGTACATAGCAGTGAATGTAACATTGTCCTGGCCATTGATGGCGGCTCAGAATTTTCTTTTTTTGTTCCAAGTAACACTTAACAGTGTATTCATTTATAGAGATTGTATACCATGTTCCTTGGTGGTCCCTTAAAAGGACCTGGTTGTTCCAATAACAGTATCTGACCTGAATGAAGGCTGGTGCGCCATGAGGTGAGGCACTTGATTAATTCTGGCTGCGTCAAGTATTGGTGGCAGAGATTCGGAGAAATTTAATGCGGTGAACATTTGCTTACTCTGGCATAGGAAAGTCATTGAGGTAGATGTCAATGGATGATCTGCACTTACTGTAGTTTGATTATATATGTACCTGTATGATTTGGTTTGTCACTTCTTATTTTTTATTTTTATAATAAATCATGCACAGAGGTAGAGCTTTTTATGTTGATGCTCCTATTGTGTGTTTAAGCGACGAGATATAGAAAGAAAGTATTTGAAGAAAGGAGCAGTTATTAGTCAACATTGACATGAGCCTGCATTTTTCCATTATGTTGATATGAGAGAGATGTGATCCCTGCAATTCTAGAAATTATCTAGTAGGTCTCATGCACATTGTCTGTGTGCCCATTCAATAGCACTTTGTGTTTTGCCCATCATGTTCCTTGTTTTTCAGACTATAATTGTTCGGCCCTCGTTATTAGGTGGCCACATAGTTAGCATAGAATTCTTGGAATACAGGATAATTAGACGGTGGCGGATAACAGACCTTTCATCGACTGCAGGTTTGTTTAGTAGGCATGTGTTTACGCGTTATTAGGATTGGGAGGACATTGTTTAGGGATGAAATTATTGAGACTAATTCTATCAAAAGAGGGTCAGGAACTTGTTTCAACCTTCGGTGGGCACTACTTTCCTCAGATGACATTGAAAGGCTTGTTATTTGTGATTTGGACTTCATGTAGGTGGTCATCTGCATTTTGCATTGTGGAATCCAAGCCTCAGATTTGGATTTTGATGCAAACTCAGTTAAAAATTTTTGGCTTCTGATTTGAGTTCCATGGCTTGGATATCATGTTGCCAAATGCAATAAATTTTGTACTAAGGTGGTCTCTAATTCTAATTCCCAATTGTTGATACTCACACTGACTCTAGAGGAATAGCCTAATAGAAGTTTTGAGTTACAAGACCACCATTCTGGTATTGTGTTTTGATCAAAGTAAATTAACCATGATTGTGAACCAACCAACAATCTATATCTAGCAATTAAAGCTATCAATGGCAACCTTATTATGCAGCAGAGGAAATGCCCAAGTGAAATGAACCCTTCTTCTTGGCTTGGTAGATGGAAGTTTAGAACAATAGCATGTGAAAGGGTTGACCTAAATGCAGTTGGGATGACTTTGGGGTAGGAAGTGTGTCATTTGTTTCCTTTTCATTTGTGATGAACGCTGGAATATACTAGGCACCGGATTTGGAACTATGTTTCAAGAACCAACTGTCCAAAATTGGAGCTAAATGTCATTCTGTAGCATCCAAAACAACATCCAATGCATTGTATTACGTGTAAACAATGGTTATTATCGTGTACAACAAAACACTATTCACAGGTATTGTTCACAGCACCCAAAACAATCACAGTTTTGAGCTCCTTTCTCTATTTAATTAAGCCCGCCTTCCGTACACTAATCAAACCCTAAAACTCCCGCTAGAAATTAACTTTAAATCGCGATATAAACCTACAAATTCCAGCTTAAAAACCCTTCAAAGCATTGTTCTGCATCAAGACAACAAGTGGTACGCTTTCCTGCATTAAATGGTAAGTGAATTGTGAAATAGTTTTGGTGGTCCATTGTTTGTTTGTGTTCCTTTATTTAGATCTCTAAGGTTTGTGTTTGGTTTATGGATTTGGAAAAAAAAAAAAAAAAAAAGGGAAAAAAAGTGTGTGAAATTAAGTAAAATATAGGTATATTTTATTCACATTTTATCTATCTTTTCCATTTTCCTTTTCAGATTCCTTCCCAAATCCTTAAACCAAACGCAACCTAAAGCAAAAAGCATGAGATTCCAATTAACACAACATATGGGTAAACAATCATTATGCAACATTCCATGCTAAAACTGCTCAAACGATTATGAACAGCCCCATCTGTACATTGAACCAAATTTCAAATTGATGCCTTTCTTTCTACAATGGAGTTCTTTGGGAGCATTTGAAAACTCCAACTATCCAATTAGTGTAAACTTGTAGAATGAGAATTGTTCGAGTTCAACAAAACCTTTGACGCCTCTTGTGCTATTAATGAACTAAGAACGGTTTTCATTGTTAACACATTGATAATTCATTTCTCTTTGTTGTAATTCCACTTTAATGAAATCACTTGAAGGCCAAACTATTACATTAAAATGCCCATGTGAATGAAAACACATGGTGAACAACATTCCTAGTACTATTCACTACTAAAAAAAGGATTTTTGTCGCAAATAATAGAAATACAGTCGCAAAAGATATTTTGTAATAGCCCATGCAACAGCAAATGGGGGACGTGAATGTGGGGGTGGCAAATACTTTTTACTGCTGCAAAACAATAGTAGCAAATTATTTGCGACTACCTAACCTACTTATAACGGCAGATGTTTTGCCGTCGCAAAAATAAATAAATAAATAAATAAAAATACCTACAATGTACTAGCAATCATCTTCTTACCCTCGCAAATTTTTTTTTTAAAAATGCCTACAATGTTTTGGCAACCTCTATTCTCATATATATATATGTGTGTGTGTGTGTGTGTGTATGTATATATATTCAAATATTATACACAATAAATGTACAGAGATATTTGCAAAAATTTTAACATTCATGTATTATTTTCTATCTCTTCCCTAAATAAAATTCTCTTTCAAAAAGAAAAAAGAAAGTATTGTCTAACAATAACAAGGAGTTCCTGAAAGAATCTTGCAAAGGTTTTCCACCTCTTACAATTACAAAGAATATTTGAGGTTACAATAATTCTGATTCCAAGAATACTTGCAATTACCCACCCTAACACATAAAACTAGTATATGGAAACAAGAAACAGGGCGCTCCTTCACAGTTTTGTTACAGAGTCTGGAAGCAACTCTTGAGAATACAGACGTCTTTTGGTTTCGTCAACTACGCTTTGAAAACTGTTAGAACAGCAAATCAAAAGAAAACAGAATCAAGCAAAATGCAACTTGAAATTATGGAAATAGTAAGGCAGTCCAACTATAGCTTGTTCTAGTTTACATTTTATAAGAGATATGTGGACGCGCATTTGATATTATTGCCAAACTGACCATGTGAAAGTCCACAACCTAAAATTTCAGAGCATTAGCACTTCAAGGGGTACTGAACTTGCCCTCTCCCTATGTCGAACAAGGTTACTGCTAATTATAGCTCTGAGAGGGAGATTTATGATCTGAGATTGGGCCGTGACGTTAGCCGGACAGATTTGGGCCGAGGTATTGGGCTCAAAGATCAGGCCGTGATATTGCTCGATAATGGCAAAGCCCACGTGGAACGAAGCTATCTGATCTCGGTTCTGCGATGGCCGGACAGGTGGAGGAACAGCCTAGATGAGGCTCTCCGGCTCACGCGTTGCAAGGTTGAAATGTACGCACCTTAACCCGGTAGGAAGGCCTGTGCTTGGAGCTTGGCTGAGAAGGTCTTTGGCTGACCGGCGTTACCAATCTCCAGCTCAGCTTCGCCGGAATATAGTTGAGCACGGCTGGAATTAAGCCTGGTAGTAGGAAACTACGACATCAAATACACTTGGGCATGTTCAGTATGGCCGTTGATAGCCGAGATAATGTTGCCCGGCTGCCGTGCTCCCAGCAGAGTGGGCTGGCAGTTGGGTTAGGTGATGTATAACAAGATTTATGCTGACAGATGGGATAACAGAGCCACATGTCGAGAGACCAATGGGAGTAGATTTGGGGCGCAGAAGGGTATATAAGCATGTCTGCGCCCCCCATACCAAACAGGAACATTTTGTAAGGAAATTCTTACACTCAAACACTGCTCTCTCTCTCTCTCTCTCTCTCTCTTTCTCTCTCTCTCTCTATCTTGAGGTGTACGCTAACTTGATCGTCGGAGGGGTTTTCCGGCCACACACCGCCGGGTAACTCACCGTTATTTGCTCGCAGGTGATCGGACAGAAACAGAGCTTGGAAAAAAGGAATACGGGCTTGCCCGAATATTTGCTCCCCGTACACTCAAAAACAAAAACCCACAAAAACAAATCACAATTCCATTGATTCACACCTATCAAATACCAGATCCACCAAGAATTTGAAAAATACCTTGCAAGCAATCACAATTCCTAGCCTCATTTTTCACAACAAGAACAGAATCAATAAGCCTATCTCCTTCAGTGTAATGCCCTTTAGCAATCCACTCAAAGCGCCAAAACGGGTGCAAACACTTGGGCAAATATATATATATATATATATATATGTGAAGCAATAACAGAAAATAATACATCGTCTAACTCACCTTTGTTCTGCTGGCACCTCTCCATGGTAATTAACAGTAGAGATTTGATTTTTGCTAAGAAAGTGGTCCACAGTGCGACTAGAATTAAATGTGTTGGAAAACACCATCACTCTATTTCCCTTCGCTAAACTTGGCTCAAGGACCTGTATTGACATTATCAAATTGCAAAATGTGAATTTAGTTATTGATCAAAATAATTGTAAAGTTACACAAACTCAATTCTATCAGTGTTCTGCTTTGCAGACAAACTTTAATATTGATACTGCCGAGATTAACACTTAAGTCGTTCTGTCAAATGTTCCCCAAACATGATAGGTAAAATAAGAGTTGTCAGCTTCATGTAAAGCTTGGATCATGAGAGTTAGAGATTAGATAGAATCATAAATGGTAATGCCATGAATCTATAGAAAAACTTGTGGCCCATTCGAAAGGGGCATATACTTTTTAATAATCAAACTTTCGCTACAGCAACTGTATAAAATATTAAACCAAAAAAATAAAATTCATCTTTCCCTTGCAACACAAGGTTTTGGGATACAGTTATAAGTCATCATACTTTCAACTCCCAACATGAGATTAACATCCCTTAGAGACATCTATTTTTTTTTTTCCCCCTTCCACAATTAGGCTAATCAAGTTTAGCTATCCACAACAGCAAAAAATTAAGTATCAGACAGTACTCCTTTTGGCAGAGTTTATTAAATGACATACAAATAATTTGTGTCAAAAGCATCTTGGTAATATGATAGCTATGTAACACCCTCAACATGAGGTCAATGTTGCTATGTGTAAAACACTTTTTTTTTTCTTTTGGTAAGGAAAAAAGATAGGTCATTGCTACTATTAGAGGTTTTACATTTCTTTCTTATACTTAAATTAAAGGGCTTTCGGTTTTGTGTATTGACCATTTTTTCTTTGGATGATAAAAAAGACA